TTGCTTCCAACCCCGTGTTCCATGAAAGAACTAAACATATAGAAATTGACTGTCACTTTGTTCGACAAAAGCTATTATCCAAAGAGATTGGTACTGAATTCACCAGTTCAAATGATCAACTAGCAGATATTCTCACCAAGTCTTTGAGAGGGCCTCGAATTAAGTTCATATGTTCCAAGCTTGGAACATATGATTTATATGCTCCAGCTTGAGGGGGAGTGTTAAGTTTCATGTATTTTATAGGTGTAATTATTACTTTCTTTCTTTTTGAGACATACTTTTACTGATGTTGGTGGCTGTGTCAGGGATCAGACTGCTATATCTCCTTTTCTGTCTTATCTTGTACTCTCTAAGCACATATATATAAAAATGTTTTGGAGCTAAGTGTATTATATACACTTTAGCTTTTTTCTCATATTCCATCAGTTTTCTCAACTACAGTCAATGCTCATCCCATGACTACTCAATCCAAAAATGGAATTATCAAACCTAGAATAAATCCTACACTCTTGCTTTCTAGCACTGAACCAAAAACAGTAAAAGTTGCTCTCACTGATCCTAACTGGCTTGCTGCTATGCAAGCTGAAATCAAAGCTTTACATGCAAATAATACATGGCAGCTGGTTGACTTACCTTCTGGCAGAAAACCCATTGGATGCAAGTGGGTTTTTCGAGTTAAAGAAAATCCTGATGGCTTGATTAAAAAATACAAGGCCAGACTTGTTGCTAAGGAGTTTCATCAACAACCTGGTCTTGATTTTTCTGAAACTTTCTCTCCTATAGTTAAACCCGTCACCATCAAGATTTTCCTTTCTCTTGCAGTTTCCTATAACTAGCCTATTCGACAGCTGGACATTAATAATGCATTCCTTAATGGAATGCTTGAGGAGGATATCTATATGTCTCAACCGCCTGGTTTTGTTGAACCTGGTACCAAACACCTTGTTTGCAAATTACAAAAAGCTCTTTATGGCCTGAAACAGGCCCCTCGTGCTTGGTTTGAAAGATCAACTTCTGTTCTACTCATGCTTGGGTTCAGCAAAAGCAAATGTGGTCCTAGTCTGTTCATCTTATCTTATTCAGCAATCACTGTTTACATGCTTGTCTATGTGGATGATATTATTCTCACTAGCAATTCTCCCTCCTTATTGCAAAAATTAATTGATCAGCTCCATGAACATTTTTCTCTTAAAGATCTTGGTACCTTGGACTATTTCTTGGGTATTGAAGTAATGAAGTCAAATTTCTTTCTAAAGGGAGGCTATTTTTATCTCAAGACAAATACATTACTGATCTTCTTACTAGAGTAAAAATGGAAGACTCTAAGGGCATATCTACTCCTATGGTTGGTGGTCAGCAACTTGCTAAAGAGGGTACATTATTTGATGATCCAACTTTATACAGATCTGTTGTTGGTGCCCTGCAATATGCTACAATTACTCGGCTAGAGATTGCTTTCAGTGTCAATAAAGTGAGTCAATTTATGTGTTCTCCAATGGAGGAACATTGGAAAGCTGTTAAAAGGATACTTAGGTATCTTAAAGGAACTATTGGACATGGATTGATGTTCACCTATGCCACTTCTACTACTTCCTTTATTCTTACTACCTTTACAGATGCTGATTGGGCAGCTAATCCTAATAATAGAAGATCTACTTCAGCAGCTTGTATTTATCTTGGTCCTAACCTAGTGTCTTGGTGGTCCAAGAAGCAGTTGCTCGTTGCCAGGTCAAGCACTGAAGCAGAATACAGAGCTTTAGCTCAAGCTGTCACAGAGGTTCTATGGATTCAATCTCTCCTAAAGGAATTACAAGTCAAAATAAATATTCCTACAATCAGAGTACAGTTGCTTTATCTCATAATCCTATCTTATACTCAAGATCCAAACATATGGAACTAGACATCTTTTTTGTTAGAGAAAAGGTGCTAAGTAAGACTCTAGTTGTTTCTCATATACCTGCTCAACATCAATATGCAGACATTCTGACAAAGGCTTTGTCACTAAGAAGATTTTTGTTTCTACGTTCCAAGCTCAATGTGATCAACTCAACCCATCTATTGTGTTTCATCCCCCTTGAGCTTGTGGGGGGTGTATTAGGGAATAAATAATAAATACTTTTATTAGTTGTATTGAGTTAGTTTTTCTGTTTAGGTCTTGTTATTCTCTTTGTTGTAATTCTCTATATATGTAACCGTACCGCACAATGTGCAGTTTACTCTTTCAATAATATTCTCTTCTAAATTCTATTTTCCTATACACCATCTACCCTCCAAGGCTTATACCCTCCCCATGCAACAGATTCACACCACTTCCCTCTCCCTACTACCAACAAGGCAGTTTGTTACCAAGTGGAGTCTCTTCCTTATTTTTCTCCCTCCTAGGCATGATCATATGCATCACATCTCTTGCCCCTACTCACATACACCTAGTAATCTTGGGTCTTAGTGTCTTGTCAAATACTCAATCATTCATTCAACCCCTCTATATGGTTGCCACTATTTTTAGTAGCTTTAGATCAGCCATCTTTAGATGATTTTCAGCCATCTTCCAATGGCAACTATCCTGAAACCTTTTAAAATAACTATAATTGACCACAGTTTGCACTTATTGATCGTTACCAACATTACATATTAACATAAAGTTCATCTTACCTCTAACTCTAAGTTAATGCAACCAGTGTGAATTACTGAATTTATTGGATATATTATCAAAAATTGAACTAATTAAACTAATCCTTATTTTTAATTGTAAAAAATGAAATTCATTACGATGAGAAACAAGGAAATCAGGAGATTAGGATCCCACATAAAAATAAAAAATAAAAATAAAAAAAAAAGGAAGGAGAAAACTTCAATGAAGCAAAGATAGTCAATCCCTTTGCATTTTATTGCAATATCCTCACACCAGATAGAAGCAAATTACTTAATCCTATTGTAAATCAGCTCAGCCACTGGTCCCAAGAAACCTCCTTGGAAATATAAACAATATGCTCTAAGATAAATCCTTATTGCCAGAAAAAAAATGTTTTGGTAAGGGAGAGAAATAAACTAGAAAACAAATAACTGGTAAGCTATTGTAGAGAACTCTATGAACATCAGATATAGTATATTAGCAAAATCTTCCACGTCCAAGTTACTAATTCATGCCTATTTTGAATTATCACATAATGCACAACATTTTAGACATAACTTTCTCAAAAATCAGCCACTGAAAAAAAAAATTGAGCTATTTCATCCTCTTGTCCAAATATGGTAAAAAAACAAGTTACACAAACGAAATCATGTTTAAGAAAAGTTTTAGAATGATAAGAAAAGAAAGTTTATTGCTTTCTTATGAAACTTGGAGTGATTCTATTCTACAATGCTCTCTCTCTCTCTCAAGTTGAGTGCATCCATGCACCCTTTATATTAAATTTTTTCCTGATATTTTACTAGTTTTATCCTTTTTTAAAAATTTTAATCAATGTCTATTTTACATTTTAGCCACTCAAAGTTTTTCCGATGCTGGCAGACATGACAAGGTGAAGAAGGCACGTGAACAGTGAACCATCAGTGGCACCGGAATGATCAATGCCATTGGCAGCAAACAGCAAGAGTGTGTCAGTGGAAGAGACCATTTCCTCAGCATCAGCAAGCACAGCAGCACAATGTTCATGTTGGTGAAGAATCCAAATCTGAGTTCCATCTCTTACACCAATAACCACATTTGTCTGTTCTGAGGAATGTTTCCATCACCAAATAACACATAACATATAAAACTACGATCATCAAACATGTAATATGTTGTATTTCTGACCATAATCACACATTCTTCCAATGCTGCTGCAGTAGCTCCCTCACTAGTGTTGTTGAAATATGTCAATATGTCAATAATTTTAGACTCATATTCTCAAAACCTAACATCAGCTACATAATTTTTTGATACATGTTTTGTTTTGTTTCAGCAACTCATTTTTGTTTGGCAAAATCCAGATTGGCTATGTGGGAACCCAAGCGCTCTTGCTCAATAACCCTGACCTTGGCATCAATGGACTAATGGTGCACTTGGATTCTTTTTTTACAATCTCGGGGTTCAATCGTATTAAAATGTAACACTTGGTTACAAAGTGCCCAACCTTGCCAACCTCTGATAAAATTGACCCCAAGTTAAGCTTTGAGAGATGAATTAGAAGGATAGCTTGAGCAAACACAGATAAAAAACCTATCTGCTACATAACCAAGATTTTTGGTGGGCTTTCCTCATAAGGTTCCAAAGTTGAGAAGGTTCGACCACATTTGAGTTCCTCAGTAAATTTTCCAATTTTCTCCTTTGTTTTGGTTGATCTCTCTTCCTTATAGACATGAAGATCTAGTGAAGCTGTAGAGACCATTTTTTGTAATTTTAAACCTTTTAATATTACATGCCAAATAAATTGAGGTAAATTATCTCTACTGTTAAACTATTGTTTTATTTGATCAACAGTAAAAACATCTTGGTGCATCCATGCACAACATTTACAAGAGTGCATGGTAGAAGTCATCAAGAAACTCAAACTTTAATTGGATAGGTATAGTATCAGAGAGTTGGATAAACACCACTACCCCTGGTCCTAATTATAAGTAACAAATTGGATTTTTCTTTGATCCTAATTATAAGCAACAAACATTAGTTTTTAAAGTAACCTATGGATAAATTTCTTTTATACCAGTAATTTATTGTTAACTTTATTTCCTATATATTTGCTTATAAGTTATAATTAATATTAAATATAACGAGCACTTAAAGCAAAGGGTATCTTTAGAATATAATTTAAATTTACAGTAGAATTAATTAAAACATAACCAACTTAAATAATTTTTTTTTTTCTTAATAATTTGTCCTATGTTACTTATAATTAGGACCGGAGGTGGTATTTCATAAAATTTAAAAAAGTAAATAAATAAATAAATTTACTCGCTTTGTGTCTTCTTTGTTGATTATCAACAGAGTGTAAAAGAAAACAAGAGCCAAAGGAACATACCTGACGTCGAAAGAATCTTAGCGTATATAATATGATGCACCCTAGGGCCATTCGAACTAGATATCAACAATAAGACATATTAATGTGCTTTCCACCACATTCTCATGTTAAAGAGAGCACAAGAGAACGAAAATTGGCAAAAATTTGATAATCTTCAGCATTTTGACATGGTCTATCATTATAAACTCAGCAATAAACTGTAAATTACTATATTTGATTAATCAATTCAGTTATGTAAATATAAAACAGACATTTTCATGTAACAAATGCTCACAAGACTAGTAGAGTTATGAAAAACAACATACTAAGTGATACAAACACAATACCAAAACTATTTTTCATACTTTTATTCTCGAGCTAAAGATAGTGTTTGTCTTTTAGACTTTAAACTTCCTGTAGTGTGTTAGATTTTTCGTCTGTACTAATTCTCAGGAATCCAAATTAAAAAGCAATAACTAGTTGCTTCCAAAGAAAACCAAACACACATTTGATCATTAGCACCAATCTTTCTTTCAATTTAAATAAAAGGAAGGGAGAAAACCAGATAAAACAAGATAAAAACAGCATTCTCCAAAATGAGAAACCAAAATAATCAAAAAAACATTATGCAACGATCAAGTACGTAAGAAAGATACCTGCGAGAAGAGCATAAAACTTAGGCAATTGCAGCAAACTTGCAATTAACACAAATGGAGCCGCAAGGATTGACACAAGCAAAGCACCTAAAATAAAATAACAGAGAAAACAGGATTAGATAACATGCAATAACATAATAAAAAGAGAACTACTACACTAGTACACACCAGATAATACTGAGGAGACACGGCCATTGCAAAAACCCATTCTAAACAACCCAATTGAACATCACGACGATTAAATTCCAGTACGTAAAACAAAACAAACTCAAATAACGATCACAACACATGCTAGTCACAATCTCAAAGATTATTAAATGGATTCATTCACATTAGTATACATGCAAAGAACCTGTATAAAGGAGTCCTGAATCCTTATTTGTTTAATTCTTCATAATGTAAAATATCATTTCCCATAATTTATAAAAAAATAAAAAATAAATAAATAAAGTAAATACCTGGTTAGTGCTAAATTTGAAAGCATATATAAAAATAAATAAATAAAAACTAAATGAATATTTGTGGAGAAATTACTAGAAAATACAAAAAGAACTTACCAATGAAGGTGCGAGGAACCACCCCAGGGAATTCCAGATGATCATACTATTAACAGAAACATTAAAAAAAAAAAAAATCAAGTATGTCCAATAAAATATCAATTAATAAAGCTTATTAAAATATAAAACAACAACTCAAAGTAAACTCACATTGTCTAAGTTCAGCCGGTGATAGAGAATATCGTGCGTTGCCTTCAGGAAACACAAATAAATTATAAATTGATAAATAAATAAATAAAAATAAGCAAACAGGTTGAGGAAGATGAAGAAAGAGAAACCTGAACGTTGAAACTCTCTTCGACCTTAGTGTAAGGCACAGTGAGAACGTAGAAAGCAGCGATTGATCCCAGCAGAAAATCGTAACCGTATCGCTGCAGAAAACTCTCCGATTTCGAATTGGACGCCATTGTTGTTCGCTTTGTTGCAGTGAGTGCAGAATCCCATAGACACTACAAAAACACGAAAAATGGGCTTCGTGGGCCTCTCAGAAGTATTGGGCTTTTATTTCCCACCCCTTTCGGTCATCCGGTTTAGGTTTAAGCAAACTTTTCTTTTTCTAATTAATCACACTACAAGTTTTTCCAATTATTAATTTATTATTGTATAAAAATTGATATTCCCTCATTCATGTCTCCCACTGTGAGAGACTTTCTTTTTTACCTAATAAGTTTAAATGAATTGGATCTTAGAAATTTACTAGAATTAAGATAAACCTTAATATTTTATAAGTATTTATAAAAATTTTATGTGTATTTATAAAGATTTTATGAGTGTCGATAATCTCGTACTAATATCTATAGTTTTATACTAATATATAAAAGGGATACTCTTTTCGGTAACCACTTTGGTCATCATTTTTTTTTATCATTATATCCTTTTATTTTAAAAAATTAGAGAAAATATTTTTAATCAAATTTAAGAACTTGAAATTAATAAATCTATACTAATATATAAAAGGGATACTACTTCCGATAAATATTTTTGTTTCTATTTTTACATGAACCATTTTATCTTTTGTTTATTTTTTAATAACTATTTTTTTATGAGTAATTTCTCATTTTTTTCTTTATTTATTTATTTATTTTTAATACGATGTAGGCACGTAGTGTCTTTTTCCTGCTAGTTAATATACAAATTAATTAAAACATGTTTAGATATAAATTTAAAAATATTTTAAAAATTTTTATTAAAAAATACTCTTTATATTTAATAATAAAAAATTCTATTAATGCCTTTTAAAAATTACAATGTAGACACATAGTGTCTTTTTCTTGCTAGTTAATATACAAATTAATTAAAACATGTTTAGATATAAATTTAAAAATATTTTAAAAAGTTTTATTAAAAAATACTCTTTATTTATAAAGTATATTTAAAAATGCTATTAGTGTCACAAACTCACAATACCGCAATGTCATTCACTACCTCTACCCCACTCTTCATGCCAACTTTTTCCTCACTAGTGGCCCCAACCCCTCACCAGCAATTCCAAATACCCCCTCTCTCTATTTATTATCCTACAAACAAAGAGTGGCAGTAGAGTCATCTCATGTCGAGAACTAGAAACTAGAAACCATTTCACATCTTCACAAACACACACACAGAGAGAGAGAGAGAGGGAATGGGGAATCACAGGTTTAAGTTATCAGATATGATTCCAAATGCTTGGTTTTACAAGCTGAAGGACATGGGGAAAGGAAGAAATTCAAGGAAACAAAACACCACGCCCTCTCGGAAAAAGAAGCAATCTTCTTCACCCCCCACAACCACACAAACACATTCATCAAAACCAAACCAACCCCACAACAACCAATACTACAACAAACCCAGAAAGTCCTACTACTTCACAAGAGACCTTACTCCATCCAACACCAAACTCCACCACACCTCACCCTCAAACACCCCAAAACTTTCCAAACAAACAACAACCTCAAAACTTGTCTCCTCAGGTTGTAGCTGCCGCACCACTCTAGAATCCATGTGGACCAAATCAGATTCCCCACATGAACATGAACATGAACATGAACATGACCATGACCATGAACACTCCTCTTCATCCCCGTTTGACACCTCACCCGAGTCACAATCCCAAGAATTCAGAACAGACCGTGTTCTCCCGTGTTCCTCATCATTCGATGAAATGCTTTCCTTGTCCACCACCTCTTGCAGCTTCACCACAAACAAAAACAACCCCACCAACGACACCATCATCAACGTGGACAAAAACTCCATAGCAAGAAAAGACACCAACCTCGATGGCTACCACAATTGCAACAACCACTATGAAGACGATCACACTCACACCTTCTCAGAACTCGAGCTTCCCCCGATCATAACAAGGCCAAAGAAGAGTGAACTCAAACAAGGGTCGTTGAAAGTGAGAATTTTGAAGGAGGAGGACCCTGCAATGCTGAAGGAACAAAAGAAGAACCGTTCTGTGAGAAGGCAGAGGCTATCTGTGAGTTCTCCGGGGGTGAGGTTGAGGGTCCACTCGCCGAGACTCGCCGGCCGGAAGGGGCGGAAGAG